CCCGGTTTAGAGGATCAAACTGCTTTTAACCTTTTCTAAAGCGGTTTATTTGTCTAAATAAGCGAACACTCGTTGAAAATGAGAAATATAAAAAGGCGCGTATCATTGAATAATATGTGTTGATGATGCAATAACTGTGTAAAATAAAAGTATAATATACGTAGGTGAGACAATAAGTATCCTTCACTTTTATCACTTTGGCTAAATTCGGATTACTTATTAACTAACTTATCATACATTACTTATCATAACTTATGATATACAATTAATAAGAATGCAAATAATTTCTACTAAAAAAAGAAATGATATATCAACGGGATTATCTTAATTAAAAATGTTGTTGATTTAATAACAGTATTAATGAAAGCAATAAAATTTTATTGAAACAAGAGTTTGACGTATTTCATTAATAGAGTTATTGTGTGAATGTGTGTGTGTGTGTGTGTGTGAATTAATAAAATAATTTTGAATTAAAATAATGCTGTTTATATAACATTAATTTTTCTTCGTACGACAGAAGATTTCATTGGCTCTTAGAATTTTATTTTAGACTTCGTCATTGAGATATTTATTTATAGAATTATTTTAAGCGCATTGAACTGTTTCGGAACTGCTTAATAAACTAAATAATTTTTTAAAAAATTTTCAAAACTTTTTAAAGAAACTAAAGATTAGTAAGAACTACATATAAATATTAAATATTTTGAAATACGCTGTATATGCATTAAAAAGAATTAAAGTTTATCGTTCGCGGATGACTTTTGCGAATCGTGCTTAAAAATTTGGAATTATACATCTAGCCGGGCACAAATTAGTGCCCTTATCAGCGGATTAACAACCAAGGATCGGTTGACTAGACACTTTTCATATTGTATGGTTTAGTAAATATGTCTACGAGCTCGGGAAGATATAAGTTCAGTATACGTTTTATATAATTTATTATACCTACTACTTGTATAAAGATGCACATAGAGAGGCAAGAAATATAAATGCACGATACCACTCGTGAAGCGAATTGGTGATGTTGTAATCGAGAGATAATTTACATAATTTATGCATCGTGCGCAATATTTGAGGTAATGCGAACTTTTGATAAAATGTAAAATATATAAAATAAATTTCAGAAGGGGATTGATCGACGCGAATTGAAATACGTAAAATAAAATAGAGATTACAATCATTATAATTTATACAAGAAGTACTATGGTAATTTATATAATATTATATTAATTTGTATTAGGAAGACTGTTTTATGCATGCAAGAGTGTAAAATATACTCATTCAAATACTTCAGAGTTTATATCTTTATGAAGCGAAATTTTGTTTCTTTATCTCTCTCTTGCTTTCTTGTATGTATAAAATGGTTATAAGCCAGAGATCGAAAGGCGTTTACCGCAAAATGCGTGTGATGTAAATACGGAACGAAATAATGGAGGACGTGATGATAATTTACATATCGAACTGGATAATTCATGGCACGTATTACCGTCAATCAATTTTGCGGCCGATCAATATTATATCGCCGAACTTTCGAGAATCATTCCTCTGGTCTCGCCGCGGTTTAGGCGTTATTAAATGTAATATTACTAATGTCCTCGATTACGGCATGACGGTCATACACGGCAGGTAAGCAATATAATGAGCGCGCGGTAGCGCCTGGAAAAAGGATAATTATCCACTTACAACGAAGCTTGCTTTAGTTTAGCGTTATTAGCGTGATGCCGGCTAAGAGCGGCGGTATGTGAAATTATAACCTGTAGTAACTTAAGGTAAACCAAGAGATTTTATTTAGTTACCGCGTTATTTCCTTATTTGTGTGGTTTTTCTTCCATGTGAGCTTTTATCCTGAAGTGAGAAAAGTCGTGACGTGGATATTTCGATTACATTTAGCTTCACCGCATGCATAATACACATT